TGTTCTAGAAGGTTTTAAAGTTTTTGTGAGTCTGTCCTCTTGTCTGACACTTGCCTCACTCCCGGACTTCATCTGATGCTTATTTTGAAATGGTTGTGGGATGACAGTGTCAAGGTGTCACCGTTTCCTTGGAAAACAACCCAATTATCAGACGGGGACACCATCGGTGAAAGTCCGAGTTACAAAACAGTGTTCACATACAAGGCTTTAAATTTCATGTGCTGCAACTAGCAATTATTCCGATATACCAATATTATATTACGTACCATAATAACATCCTATTAACTACTATGCATTACAACAGTAGATGGCACCGCTTAGAAGGCCACTTCATGAAATCAGTAAATGTTCTCTGTCACATATTATTTTATGATTCTGCCTGTTCATTGCGAGGAAGGCTCTGCTGGGTGTGCCGTGAGTTGATGTGCTCATTCCTTGTAAGTTTCTTCTCGTTTCTCTGTTTAATGTGGTTTGGAAGGGAAGAAAATGCTATGCAGTGTTTGTGTATTGTTTCAGTTATGGGAAGTGTATAATGAGCATCGCTGCATCAGAACGTATTACGGCCATCGGCAGGCAGTGAGAGATGTTTGTTTTAATAATGCTGGCACACAGTTCCTGTCAGCAGGTGAGTAATACTGGCAAACATGTATCGTATATTTATTATACAAGTCATAAATAAGTTCTCAAAATTATGCACTTTTACAGCGTTAGAGTGTATATAGTAACTTTGAGTAAGTTTGACTTTTGCTATGAAACTTTGGTTAGAAATATTTTTTTATTGTCATTTATTTGTAGTATGTTTCATGTTGTCGTCATTATTAGGAGCATTCAAAAATGCATGTGGAAACTGTGTACTTGGTGAAGTTTGCATCTTTTTTAGTCTCATGTATTTGTGGTGAGACGGGGAACGACGTGCTGTCTGTCTTATGAAACGCACATTGGCTAGTCTCTTCCAAGTGTTATATTATCCTGCGTGTCTTGAGACTATGATTCTTAGGATTTTAGTATAACTGATCATCTGGAAAAGTCCGTTGGGTCAGTGTCGGAATGATCGCTGGTCAATATGGTTCCAAGACCCATGTAAAGTACATTATAAAAAAATTACTTTCATTTTGTATGTTTAGCATATGACCGATACATCAAGCTGTGGGATACAGAAACTGGTGGGTGCGTATCTCGCTTCACAAGCGGCAAAATTCCGTACTGCACAAAATTCCATCCAGATGAGGACAAACAACATCTGTTTGTTGCCGGAACATCAGACAAGAAGATCATCTGCGTAAGTCACTGAAATATTTATATTGTAACGTGGGTTGGTAGTTACGACCTTGATTGTCAACTCTTGATTTATTCACGTTAAATTAAATCAGATACAGAGGTCTACACTGACAGGCAACTCTCTACTACTACAACAGTATCTGAGTTTTTGTTCTCTGCTCTCGACTCGCGCGCACACACTTCTCCTACATGCGATTCACAGCTCAGCTCTTTTCATACTCTAACCCGAAAACCGATTGTCAACGGCGGTAAACAAACACAACAATGTCAGTAAACAGATAACTAAACTGTCTCTTAGGTACACAGCAATGCCAATGGTCTCGAAAGCCAGTTGTTGACGGCAGTAATGAAACACAACAATGCCCGTAGGAGTTCGTATAGCATCTAAAGATGCGGATATAGCTGTGTTTGTTATTAAGTCTAAAACCGTTTATAAGATTTCAGACTAAACATCTTCTTGTTTAAATATAAAATGACACAATAGTAGTATTGCTGAAGTGGTCTCCATTCTTGCAGTGTCTACAGGACCTCACTGTGGACAACATTACCTTATTTTTTATAGTTTTACCAAATTAGCTTATTCTTTTAACAGTATTTCAGAACAAATGGATGTTGGAATTGTTAAAGTTGCTGAGGATAAGGACTTTGAGAAACTGAAGAAACTTGTTGATGATCACACTGGATGGAAACTTGATTACAATAAATCAACAACAAAAGTTTGGACAAAATCTGTTCCAAAAACAAGCTTCAAAATGATAAAGGTATTAGAATACTGCATTTCTGTGCTGTCTGTATATGATTTTATGCATTTCAGATATATGATAGTACACTATCTGGTGATTTAAATTGGTTGAAATTGAAGTTTTTGTGTTTCAGATTTGTACCTTTTTTGCTGAAGTAAGTCCTCAGCAGATATATGATGTATTGCATGATCCAGACTACAGAAAGGTTTGGGACCAACATATGATAGAGTCACGTAAAATTTCTGTTCCAGGGACGTTCCAGTGGACGTGAAGTATATGGCTGACCCCACGATGCACTCGATGCCTGCAGTGACGCCGTCGCCAAACCGGAAGTGGCTGGCTTGTCAGAGTATGGACAACAAGATTGTAATATTTTCAGCTCTAAATTGCTTTAAGACGAATCGCAAGAAAACCTTCAGCGGACATACGGTAGCTGGTTACGCGTGCACCGTCGACTTCTCGCCTGATATGAGGTTTGTCTCATTGACTATATCTGATGGTATGGCATGAAAAGATGTACGTAACAGTAACAAGGATAAAAGCGCAAAGGACTAATATTTGGGAGCTGACTATATTGAAATTCTCATATTGTGACGCTCTAGGAGTGGGGCAGCAAATTTAAACTTTAAATATCAATAATTGGACACCGGTGTAATAGGAGCGGATGTCGAGAAATTAAACTGAAAATTACGGAGAATATGAAGAAGATATGTTACTAGTTTATCCGTATTAGAGTTTGGTTCTTGTGCGCTAAATCCGCTGAATTTGATTTAGCTGAAGAACCAACTTTGACTCCTTCATATTTAAATTATTATTTTATATTTATAGTTATTATAAAATATTATTATGGACTGGATCTATAAAATAGGATTGAAACAAAATTTTCAAGTTATTTATATGATAGTAAAACTTAGTTTCAATCATAAATTAATACATTTCAGTGCTTGTTGAAATTAAATTATCTTTCAATCTTTATCGTGTCGCCGTTGACCTGTCTGTTTCGTTGCAGCTACTTGGTGTCGGGAGACGCTGATGGAATGTGCTACGTGTGGGACGGGAAGACAACAAAATTATACAAGAAGTGGAAGGCTCATGACAGCGTGTGCATTGGTGTGCTGTGGCATCCGCATTAACCAAGTAAGCTCGTTACCGCTGGATGGGACGGTCTTATAAAGTACTGGGATTAAATTTTGATATATATATTGTATCATTTGTAAGTATATGCCAAGTGCCATGAATGATTAGGTTGACAGAAAATTCACGTAAAGTGCTTGTATTATAACTGAAATATCTAACATTACTAGTCAGAGAAATAATAAATCATGTTAGTGGTAACAGCA